TACAGCCTTCGGTTTGGTGTTTTACTCGTTGCTGCTTCATTAAGACGAGTGCAACACTTGGCTGCTACAAGGTAGTGGTCCGAATCAATATTCGCTCCTCGGATCGATCTAGACGTTCGATCACTGGATGAATGCCTTTTTTATAGTTCTTATGAGTGAACTCGCGGCGCATATCAGCTCACTATTTCAACGGATGATGAAAGTAGCTACCCCAGGTGACACCGTGGGGAGGTCAGTTGAGATGAAAGAGGGACCAAGATAAGCCTGGACTTCGCCCAACTAAAGCCGATCAGAGCCGTTGCTTGGTATTTATCATCCCCTACGCTATCCTATATATTCATTCACTGTCTCTTTTTTAGAACCCATTTCGCATTTCGGCATATTTTCAAATGCCGAAATATGCAACAATAATTAAAACAACAAGAAAAAAACGTTATGGTATTATTTTTAGAAACCAATTGCTAATTACTATACACTTGCATACATGTATATACGTTTTGTTTTGTTGCGTCAAGGTGAATTTGTGAAAATTCATTTTTGCTGCAATGTTTGTTGTTGCTGTTTTTTTTCTTATCTTAAGGTCTTGGGTCTTGTGTCTGTTTCTTTAATTAGAAATACAAATTGCAAATTATTATTACAAAGTCATAGAAACAATAGTTTGTATATTTGTATTTATACATTGTTATAAAGTTTACCGTTATTTCTTGTTGTTGTAATTTGTTCACATAAAACATACAATTTATGATAATTGTACATGACTATTTTTTTGAAACAGAGAATATTGATTTTTTAAATAATTCATATGAACAGAACTGAGTGCTTGAAATTTGTTTATTGTTTAAATAATATTGTGTTTATATAATCAGTATGTATTGTGTTTAAATAATCAGTAGGAAATTCAATAATCAAACATTCAATCAATAATGACAACAATTTAAAATATTCTTTTTTCCCCCTCTTATTAAAAATCGATTTTTATTTCCTCTCTTACAAAAGTCCAAAGGAATGTTATTCCTCCTATACTCAACTATATTTTTTTTTTAATTAAACAAATAATAAAAAATATCTGTTCCAAAGTTAAATCGTATTACATTCAACTTCCACACTTTTCCTCCTCGTAACCTCTCTTTCAAAAATGCACTTTGTTTTGTAGACAAGTATCGACATTTGTTGTGCAGTCGACACTGTCAAAAGCTTGCTTGTAATGATTTAATCGCGGAATTGCGCATTTTTTCCTTCCTCCCTAATTCTTTGTTTGTATGTATAGTTAGATGTATGTATATATACGTACAAGCTAACAATTAAATCGTGATTTTATTTCCATTTAATGAAAAACTATACGCCGCAAGCAAAACAAACATCTGTCGTCTAAACAGAAAGTTGAGGCAAAAATCTAAATAATAAAAAAATTCTAAATGTTATGGCATAAAATAACAAAGATTATTTAATGTTTTTATTATTGTTGTTGTTGACATTTTGTAGCTGAGTGTGTGTGTGAACAGGGTACACTTTCCTACTTTCGATATAATGGGCGGGGGAATGTTCATTATTAATCCGAGCTTAATACACGCGATTATGCCGCGACGTCATTAGTTTGAGATTCATGCATCTAATCACAATAAGGAAGGAAGTTATTTGACTAAGGAAATAATGTTTTTCATCCTTGCTCGTACGAATGTTTTAATATTTGTTTGTGGCATACTTTTAGGCTTGTCCCTATTATATATTGTGTTAAATCTCAATTGTAAGAAAGGGTGAAGAATTAATACAAAAGTTCCACAGTGGTAATATCAATACGAAAGTTCTTTGAAGGATTCTATTAATTTTATAATTGAAGACTTCCCATTCTAAAGTTCAAAAGTAGGACGGGGCCGACTATATGATACCCTTCACCACTTTGGGTACATACAAGAGATGCTAATATATACAATATCCTGTATATGGAACGAATATATATTTACAGGACCTTTGACATTGAAAAAAAAAACCAAATACACACACGATTCTTCGATTTGTTATGCGTTATCCTAAATTTCGTCATAATCGTACAAAAATAGGGAGTTTGGTGCACCATTTACATAAAGTCTGACGAAGCTACATATGGAAGCTATATCTGATCCGATTTCAATGAAGCTTAACACACTCTATCCTACTTCCAATTTCATACGTTATGGCATGTTTTGTCTCAATCGGACGAAAATTGGGAGTTTGGTGGACCATTTACCTAAAATCGGACGAAGGTATATATGGGAGCTATATCTAAATCTGAACCGATTTATAAAAAACAGACATCAATCTGGATTAAATTCCGTACGCTGTGGAAAATTTTGTCTCTATCGGACAAATATATTTCCTCATTTCAATAGGGTTTTCTTCAATTTCAATAGGTTTCGTCCTCGAACCAAATAAGTGACATGTGCCAAATTTTATCAAAATCGGATCATAAATGCGACCTGTGCTTTGCACACAAAAATACATGGACGGACGGATTATCATATCATAATCGACTCAGAAGGTGACTATATGCATATTCTCAAAAGCCACGTGTCTATCTCGTTTCCTTTTGCTGTTACAAACATATGCACAAAGACATAATACTCTGTACCACAGTGTGGCGAAGGATATAAAAATTTAAAAAAATCCACACTTAGATATAAAAAAAAAATCCACGCAATAGCACTGAAGTTTGGGTAAAAAAAATATTATTTAAAAAACTGAACGCATATAGCACTGATGGTTGGGTGAACAAATATTCTGTTAAATTTTTTCGCTTACAGTTCTGAAAGTCGATGAACAATGTTCTTTACAAATCTACGCTTATAGCTCTGAGGGTCGATGAAAAATATTTTTTAAAACATTCCCACTTATAGCTCTAAAGGTCGATTCATTATAAAATCCACGCTTGTAGCTCTGAAGGTCGAGAATCATTCAAATATACTTTAAAAACACACCAAAATAGCTAAGATCTGTAGGCCTATCCTGTAACATTTGAGAATATTCGATATTGTTTAAATTTCTTTTGTTATTGTAAAAACAATAATACAAACAAATGAAATTGTTGTAAAATAAACAATATCGAATGTTGTTAAAAAGTTACAGAATAGGCCTACTGAAGATGGTTAAAAGCCATACAGTACTGAGGATCCTTGAAAAACTTATAAGATTGAAGATCACTCAAAACCTATACTTAATAATGAAGATCATTGAAAAATATTCTATAAAAAATGCACACTCCGAATGATTCTCAAAATATGCTAATCTTCGGAAAATCTTGAAAATTTAATTTGAAAAAATCGATTGTTAAAAATCTAAGCTTACATATTTTCTAAATAAAAAAATACATTTAAAAAAAGAAAACGATCATTGACTCTAGTTTGTAAATAAAAAACAATATCGTTAGACGTCTAGAGAAATAATATATTTAAATTAGTCTATTTTATTTATTTATTTTTTTCTTTTTTTGGTTGTTAACATTGCTCCTTCCTATCTGGGTTCAAATGTTTGAATTTTAAATGATGTGGCGAGCAACATTCAAATTCGATCAGGCATTTTTTTATTTATTTGAATTCGTTTTTTTTTAATTTTATAATTGATTGACCACCACACTCCACCTAAACGCCGAACCTCTGATGTGTGATGGTATATGTGGTTCTGATAGTGAACTACATATATACACACATATATCAGCAAATTAGTAGAAAAAAATTTGTTGTCGCCAAACTAATATTGAGTCAGACGATTGCTTTAATTTTAGAGAACATTTTGAACAGTTTTTTTATCTGCGGTAGGCAAACAGCTGTCATTGCCGGCTTATTTTATTTGCTGCTGATTTTTGCAATTTTCGTTTGTTTGTAAATAAAATTGTATTTGCGTATATATGTGGGTAGACAATATTCAATAGAATTGTTGCTTTAAACAAATTTTTGTTGTTGGCGCATTTTCTTTGCCTTCTCAGCTCTGAACATTTGCCAACTAATTGATGGATGAGCAATTTCGTTTTTATTTAAATTTTTTTCATTAAATTTTCCTTAAATATTATAAGTTTTTTTTTTTGCAAACAATTTGTTGTACATTCTGTTTTAAGAGACAATTTCGCATGCAATTATTTTGTCGTTGTCAATAAAGATTAAGAAAGGCATAATTGTTTTTGGCAAGGGATTTACAATATATATATATATAGCTCATGAGATCAGTTACTTGTTAGATCTATGCGATCAATTCTACCAAAATTTTGTATACTATGAATATGATTTTTATCTCTAACATAATAGCTCAAGCGCCACTATAGCATGGTATCCATAAAATAATGAACTTCATATCTCGAATTTTTTAAATATCTATTATCAAATAATCTAGAAAAATCAATCTTTTGAATATTTTATTTGCCGATTATAAAGAATATCATTCTAGAACGATTATTTTGATAAACATATGTGTATACATTGATAGTGTATGAGTCATTGAATATCGATCTACTTTCCTTATCGAAATTGTGCAAATTTTTTTTCGACAGCCTTTAGATATAGCTCCTATATATATGTTCTTCCGATTTTGTGAAAATTGTGTTTTCATATAGTCGGCGCCGTCGGACTTTACTACTTTCCTTACTGGTTTATAATAGGGGTGATGATTAACGACCAAGATCAGCAGCGACAGGCTCCTTTCCTGTCTAGAATACTTTGGCTTTGGATATTTTCACATTCCTCAGATGGGAAAATTTCCATCTAAAAACTGGAATCCATGGTCGTACAAGTTTGGTTTCAGCTGCAGTATTTTATAGCGTTAGAACAAAAAATAAAAATTTACAATTTAATTCGAGTTTCTAAAGGTTCCGAAATATTTTTAGGCGCCAAAAAGTATGCTATACAAACATTAGCTTAACGTTAACAGACAATTTGGTATAATTATATAAATTAATATATATGTATATATTTGATTATATTGTTTTATAATCACCTAATACTAAATTTCCTTTTCCTTTTTTTTTTACCTACTTTCAGATATGGGTCTATTGAGTGAAGGCAGTCCCATGTCATGGGAAGAAACCAAAGCACTGGCCCAGCATGTACGTGAACATGGCATACAACAGTTCATAAATCTTTATCATCGGCTAAAAGATCGTCAAGGTGACGTTTTGAAATGGGGCGATGAAGTTGAATATATTATTGTGAAATTCGATGAACAGAATCGTGTGGCACGTGTCTCCCTTAAGGCTCAAAGTCTGTTGGCAAAATTAAATGAAAAAGAAATGACCGATCCACAGGGTGTCAAATCACTGTGGCGTCCCGAATATGGTGCCTACATGATTGAGGGCACTCCCGGCAAGCCATTTGGCGGTTTAATGGCTCATTTCAATTTGGTAGAGGCCAATATGCGCTACCGTCGTCAGGAGGTCACCGAACTTTTGGAAAAGGACGAATGTGTTATGTCGATAACGAATTTCCCACGTTTAGGTTGTCCCGAATTTACACATCCCATATACAATCCCAATCCCGATGATCCAAATGGTTCAGCCAAATCTCTATATTTCCCCGATGAGGCCATTTTCCCCGGTCATCCACGTTTCAAGACTCTAACACGCAACATACGCATGCGTCGCGGCGAAAAGGTGGCCATCAAACTAAAAGTTTTCAAGGATGAAAACACCAAGTTACCCGTTGAAGGTAGTCCGGTCAATGAACCAGATGTAGTATTACTAGACGCTATGGGTTTTGGCATGGGTTGCTGTTGTCTACAGTTAACATTCCAAGCTTGCAATATAACCGAGGCTCGTACCTTGTACGATCAGTTGGCACCGTTGTGTCCAATTATGTTGGCCCTAACTGCGGCTTCTCCTATTTATCGAGGCTATTTAACGGAATCTGATTGTCGCTGGAACGTCATCAGTTCGTCGGTGGATTGTCGCACCCAAGAAGAGAGAGGCCTTAAACCATTAAAGCACAATAAATTCCGTATTGCAAAGTCACGCTACGATTCAATCGATTCATACCTCTCACCTGAAGGTGAACAATACAATGACGTGCCCTTAACCTACGACGAACAGGTATATGAAACTTTGCTGGATGGTGGCATTGATCATCTGCTAGCCCAACATGTGGCACATCTTTTTATACGCGACACCGTATCTCTGTTCAGTGAAAAGATCCATCAAAACGACGAAGAAGATACCGATCACTTTGAGAATATCCAATCGACCAATTGGCAAACAATGCGTTTCAAGCCACCACCACCAAACTCTTCGATTGGATGGCGTGTCGAATTTCGACCATGTGAAGCTCAAATCAGTGATTTTGAAAATGCAGCCTTTGTATGTTTTGTCGTATTGCTGACACGCGTCATACTTTCGTATCAGTTGAATTTCCTAATACCGATCAGCAAGGTGGATGAGAATATGCAGAGAGCCCAGAAACGTGATGCTTGTCGTAAAGAGAAATTCTGGTTCCGTAAAAATGTTCGCAAATCACAAAAACAAACAACAAATGGTTATACAAATGGATCGAATGGCACCACTGCTGCAGTACATCAAAACGGCAGCAGTAATGGTGTTGGCGGTGTCCACACAAATGGTACAGCAGCTACCAATGGTGATGATGCTACAAAAATGTCGAACGGTACAAATGGATATCATCACAACGAACAAGATGATGAATATGAACTAATGTCGATTGGAGAGATATTTAATGGCAAAGTGAGTAGTGTTTGGCCATCATTAATTCCCTCTCTCCCTCTTAAAACAATAATTAACCAACAAAAATATATTCCCTTTATTTCTTTAGGCCGATTGTTTTCCTGGTTTGGTGCCACTAATACGCAGTTACTTACAATCAATGGAAGTCGATACAGATACCCATTGCACTATTGAACAATATTTGCGTTTTATTGAACGACGTGCATCCGGTGAACTGGTGACAACTGCCACCTGGATGAGAGAGCAGGTCTTGAAACATCCCGACTATAAGTAAGTTTTAAATATAGATATATGTTTAAATATATCCCCCACCATCTATATAATAATTACCGACGCCATATATTTATATATAATAAGGATAACATTCCGGTCTTCCCTCTTTTGTTGTTACGATAACTTCCTAAGGAATCCTAATACGAAGCTCCACATTTCTACATATGGGAAATTACAAAAATCTTTTAAATTCCTTGAAGCTGAGGTTTGCAAGGTTATAACTCGCGAAATATGAACATATTGCATATAATTTAAATTCAATTCTATAAAATGAAGTGTTCTTGTCAAAATCTTGAAATATTGGTAATAAATAATAAGTTGCGTGGAAGCTGTGATGGTGGTAATGTAAAAAAATGGGTGAAAATGTGTTGAAGCCAACGAGTTTTTTTGTGTTCGTTCCCGATTTGTGGCTAAACTACACAATGCACGCACATGTGATCAGTGACTAAGTTGCAGAATACCCCATGGGCAATATGGTTCTAATGTATAATTTTTCGATATAATCACTGCATCCACCAAAAATGGATGCTGACATTTTGAAGCCGGATTTTCGGTGTTTTTTGAATTTTTCTTATAATTAGGATGCGCATCCAGATAATAGAATATACTAATTATAGAATCGTAGAACTCGTGATTCTGCTTCGTTTAGTGTGTATCTCATGAATGTGCTCACTGTAGCTTCTTTGCAATTGGGTTCCAAAGACGAAAATTTAGTGCGTAAATTTTTATAAAAAACATATTTTTTGAGTCTAAAATTAAGAAAGTCCATTCAAATTCCGTGGAACCCCGCGTGATTTTAGTTTTTTTACGTGCCGGATCAAATGAGCCTATCCATGTTGAATTCCGTCCAATAAAACGGCGGATATAGGTACCTTGAATGTGGGAAAAACTGCAAAAACTTATTTTGACAAATTCGCGTAAATAATCGCGGTTTTCTTCGAATTAACTTTACATGCATTTATGCTTGTATTGTCAAATTCGCGAATCTGTGTGGAAATAGGTCAAAACTACATCGATACGCGAAAAATATGCGTATTTTATCCAAAATTGATTGTGGAGGCACATCCGCGGTTCTTAACCGATCCTTTTAAAATAGGTGTCCTTTTGCGTATTTTCATAGGAGATTACTAAAATCGGATGCGCATAAAAATCGTATGCACGTTGCGTGATTTTTAGCCATTTTTAGGGTTTTTGCATAGTAAAGTGCATCGAGTGGCACACTTTGACCGCTGAATTAAACATCGAAAAATTAATAATTATTGAAAGACATTGATTCGGTTTATACGAAAATCGCATGCGCATCAACTGATTTCAACTAATTCGCGAATTGCAAGCTTTTCAATATTAATCATTTTTATGTATTGTAAGTGTAATATATTTAGCCATTAATGACGTCGAAACTCTTATCAGATGAATCTGCCGATATTTAACAATCATCTAAAAGAATTTGCAGAAGAAAGCGTCGTATATTTTAGAAGATTAAGGAAAAACCGTATCCTCTTAACCATTCTAAAAAAATCGAAAATTCAAAAAAAATTTGTTTTAATTCAAAAATTAATTTATTTTATTTTCCGATATCTTTATGTTTCTATTTGTTTTTCGCGACTATTAAACCGTATTTCAGTGTGATTTGACTAGTATGCAAAGAAAACAATGGTGTTTAAGCATTTGTGAAGAAATTCGCGAATTACAACGAATAGGAATTCATGTAATTTATATTTGAAATAAAAGATTTAAAACCGCTATAACTTTTGTGCGCAGCATCCGAATTTGTGAACGCTAACAGATTTCGAATCAGCATATTTTTCTTAACATATGTACTAAAAATCATAAATGTGCTCGCAAAAAAATTTTTCAAAATTTTTTTAATGGAATTTTAAAAGAATTTTGTAATTTCCCATATATGCTCCTTTTGTTGTTTGTCTGTCTGTTAAAATCATGATGTACATACATTGCTACCACTCCTAGGATGTCCGCACCACATTCCATATTTTGGAAGTTTTAACCGCAAAGGATGTAATTAGACTTTCCGATTTCACGGAGGATGAAAACATCTTTTCAGATAATATCGATTTGGCCGGTGTTTTGAATGACTCAACCCATTTCGATATTTTAAGTGCTTTTACCGCATTTTTTCAATAAAGGGGTACATCTACTTTGGTTTGCAAATTTTGGGGTTTTTTGTTTTCAATGTGGCTCCATGTTCTAAAGAGACCGTATATGTAGAAGTTCTCCAACCTTAATGTGGGTTCATGTTCTAAATAGATCTTATATGTAGTAGTCTTCCAATCTTAGCGCCCGAATTATCTATACCATCAATTATATGTATTCTAAATATTTCGAACACATGTCCAACTAAATTTACTGTAATTGTTGGATATCATGGGATCTAATATGTTGAAAAATCTCCCCGTCTTAGGTATAGCTCTCATATAACGGTATCTCCCCTATATGGATACATACATATACTTTGGTTTGCAAATTTTGGGGTTTTTTGTTTTCAATGTGGCTCCATGTTCTAAAGAGACCTTATATGTAGAAGTTTTCCAACCTTAATGTGGGTCCATGTTTTAAATAGACCTTTTATGTAGTAGTCTTCCAATCTTAGCGCCCGAATTGTTCTAAAAATTTCGAACACATTTCCAACTAAATTTACTGTAGTTGTTGGATATCATGGGATCTAATAAGTTGAAAAATCTCCTCATCTTAGGTATAGCTCTCATATAACGGTATCTCCCCTATATGGATATTTCCTAATCGATTGGACTGTAATTTGATATTAGGGATACGCGAACGAACTTGAATATGTGATATTTATTCATATCTGGAACCTATGCTAAATTTAATTTCATTCGGGCGCCATTTACCTTAAATCCAACGAAAATTTATATGGGAGCTACATCTAGATCTGAATCGATTTCAACGAAACTTGCCAAAGTTTTTTTAGTGCAAAATTTACATAAAATCGGAGTAAAATATATATGGGAGCTATACCTAAATCTAAACCGATTTTTCCCAATTTCAATAGGAGTTGTTCTTGGCCCAAATATATGAGCTGCGCCAAATTTCAACCACTTCGGATAATTAATGAGACCTGTAACATGGCCAGACAGACATGCATAAATCGATATTCTCAAAATGAACCATGTGTTTATCTCGTTTCCTTTTGTCTGTTACAATCAAATGCAACGACATAATACCCTGTACCACAGTGGTGGTGAAGGGTATAAAAATGCCAGTAAAAAATATCCTATGGTGGAGGGTATATTATAGTAGTTCGGTCCGACCAAACTTAACTAATTTTTTCATAAATTCTATTGATGTATTATTAATATATTCCTAACTCTTTTCGTTTTTTTGCAGAAAAGATTCCGTTGTTAGCGATAGCATTAATTATGATATCCTTAAGAAAATTGAAGCCATACAAAAAGGCAATTTAATTGAGCCAACATTGCTGGGCCAAGGCAATCATACAAAAACAAAAGATTTCATACCGCTGGCCATACAGAAGCATTTGAGTGGCTGTTGTGAAAGCATATGACCAAATGCAGGTGATACTTACAAATATGGTAACGACAAGAACGAGGATGCTGATGATGATGGCGATGATCGTGTTGATGCTGACGAAGACGACGATGATGATAACTGTGATGGAAAACAACAAATAAATATAGCAACAAGTGGCCAGTAGTAGTAAATACAATAAAAAACGCAATATTGCCATAAAACAACAAAACAGAAACAAAAACAAAAAAGAAATTCATGCAACAAATTTGAAGTAAACAACCAAAATAACAAGAAAAAAACAAATGTGGAAAACAACATTAAAGCAAAGCATTATTGAGGCATACAAGAAGCTGGAAATTAATGATCAAATGTTGTTTTGGCCTGTTTTGAAGAGCGAGCGCACAAAGCAAAAACGGAAAGCATTCCAAAATGAAATTATGGCTTTAGCTGCAAAAAAACTGTAAATTGTAATTTAGTACATTTCAGTTTATGCTCTATGCTGGGACGATGGATACAAGACGGAATAAGTCGAACCATGATGTGGACATTTGTGGCAATATTTTGCTTCTACTTCAGCTTCGCCGAAGTTTGAGCTATCCTGTAGTTTGCAAACGTCATGTCAGGCTAATATGATTGTTGATAAGGACGAACAACTACAACAAAGTGTTGCAAAACTTTCCTTCACAAGCTAATAAATTGATTAAATTGAATTTGAGGCAACAACAATAAGGAAGGGATTTATGTTATAGTTATTTACAAACATACACCTATATATTATTATATACACACATACAAACAACATAATTGCTGCTGCATACAAACATACTTATATAGAATAGTTATTAATGTTTTCTTTTTATTTAATTATTTGTTAAATTATTTCATAGAAAAAAACCAACACACCAACCAACAGGATTGATTATATGTAAAACTAAAAAACATTTAAAACTTTTTTTCAAACAATTAAGTGTTTATTTATTTACTTAAAAAATAAAAACAACAACCAACCAATATAATTCCTATATAAATTATATATTTTTTATTGTTTAAAACACATAATAATAACTCTCTCGAGAATACGTAACAAACCAACAACAACAACTAAAATATTTTAATAAAACAAAAAATTGAACTTATGAACAAAATTGATAAATCAAAAAAAAAATCCAATAACAACAACTTAAATTTATTGTAAAAAAATGATGAGCAAGGAAAAAAACAAATCGATTGTAAACAAAAATTTAAATAAAAATTGGTACAAATGAAAGACAAATATCAATATTTACATGTTTTTATTTTTTTTATAACCTCCACCATAGTATGGAGGGTATATTAATTTTGTCATTCCGTTTGTAACTTATCAAAATATTCGTTTCCGACCCTATATATATACTTTATATTTTTGATCAGGGTAAAATTCTAAGACGATCTAGCCATATCAGTCTGTCTGTTGTAATCGCGCTGTCTTCTAAAGAAATTGATATAGATCGCCAAAATTGCATAGAGTCGTCTTTTGTCTGCAGACAGGTCAAGTTCGAAGATGGGCTATATCGGTTCACGTTTAGTCATAGCCCCCATATAAGGGTACCGCCCAATTTTCGATATTTTGGGGTTCTTGTGCGAACCGAATTCGCTCAAAGTTTGTTACATTGAGTTCTTTTTGTGTACCAAATTTCTCCACTAAAAATTATAAATATAGGTCCACTTTTTCTGATAGCCCCCATATAACAGTATTTTGGTGTTCTTGAGCGAGTTTTTGTTATCGAATTCGCAAAAATTTGGTATACTGTGTTCTTTTTCGGTACCAAATGTCTCCACTATAAATTATAATTATCGGTCCACTTTTTCTTTTTTCAAGCGCGTTTTTAAACTGAATTCGCAGACATTTTATACAATGGGTTCTTATTCGGTAACAAATTTATTCACTAAAATTATAAATATAGGCCCAAAGATGAGCAAAGGTGAGTTTATTCTAAACGTGATCTCGACCAAAACAATGCTAAGACTCTATATTAATATTTCTAAAATCCTACAGCAAAAACATAATCTTACAAAAATAAGCTTATTTTGCTGATCGATAACCTTTAAAGGCATTTTCTTATTGCCCATATAAAAACTACATTATTATATCTTCTAAATGGTGAAGTTTTCATGAAAATCCATTCAGTCATTGCTGAGATATAGCCATTTGAATTTGAACTTCATTCAAAATATAGCTGCTACATAGTTCTGTTCGCCTATTATCACAAAATTCAATCGAAGCGATATTTTGCATTTTCTCTAATGGCACAATTTGCAGCTGCTGGCTAGCAACGTTGCCATATCGGATCATATTTCTCTGATGTAGTTTTACAAATTCCAATTGTTCAAAGCATAATTTGAGGCGTAATATTAATATAAAGAATGACAATTTAATTTAACGCCTAGAAGTATGCTTTAAGTTTATCTAATATTATGAAATCAGATAAAGAAACACAAACATGCGATGTGGCAACAGTGCTAGTAGTAAATTGTGCCATTTGAAAAATGTAAAATATCGCAATGATTGAATTTTGTGATAATAGGCGAACAGAACTATGTAGCAGCTATATTTTGGGTCAAACTAAAATTTAAATGGCTATATCTCAGCAATAACCGAATGGATTTTCATAAAAATTTCTCCACTGATAAGATATAAAACTGTAGTTTTAAAATATCCAATAAGAAAGTATATTTAATTGTCTCTCGATGGGCAAAAGAAGCATATTGTTGAAAGATTTAGTTTGCCACAGTAATTTAGTATTTTTTATACCCTCAACATTATGTCTAATGAGGGTATATACATTTTACAATGGATAAATGTGCCGCATCGAAATATTTGTTTTAGACTACATGTTTCTTTGGACCAAATCCGTTTCACACAATTTGGAAGCTGCTGCGCATGATTACTCTCGAAGGCAGTAACGGATTTCATTCAAACTTTGCACATTGTAATATTTCTTCCAAATTTAGTTCATGTTCGTAGATAGGGAATATCGGTCCACTCATTCTCCACAAAATAGTCCAAATTTTGTTGAAAAATAATTTTGTAATATGATGCGAACGGACACTCCGATTTAAAGTAAACTTTACACAACATAATATTGTAACCATGCCTATATAGGGGTCGGTTTATTATTTTCCTCTAAAGAAGGCGTTTTAGATATGCTTTGTTTCTAATATAATTTTTTCTAAATGCTGATCCAAATACTCCCACAGGTGCCCTGTATGATTCTGCTTGGCAACCTTATTTTCCAACCAATCCCACATAACGGTGGTAGTGTATTTCAGGTCGTTATCTTGTTGAAAGAGGTTTCAATTGTATTTTTTTTTAAGTTTACTGAGTAAATTTTCACAGTAAGATTTTTCAATACTCAGTAATTCAACGAAATTTACTGACGAAGGCATACGAAGCTGGCTCTGATAAAAGAGAAAACAGTATTTGCGAAAGACGAAGCAACAGATAGTAAGAAGCCGCCATCTTATGCCAAGGTTGCCAGGAAACGCTATCGAGACGAGCTCTGTTATGCAGTAATATAGCGCGTCCGGTAAGCTAAATAAGGAGACTCATAAGGAGGTGTTAAATGTAGTCACAGCAATATCATGAAACACCTACGACAAGGAGGGGATTCTATTAACCTGGATAGCTGCGCTTTCAAAGGGGACTCTCTAATTCTGGAGTTTGAAACACCAAAAAGTAGCGAAGCCCTAAAGAAGCTAGTGGCAAGCATTGGACCCATAGATGGAAAAAAGACATTCCTCAACACCAAAATGCTACAGTCTTTGTCAGAGGTTGGGGCAGCGATTCGACACGGAACATCTTCAACCTACAAAACAAGACACTTCATGGAAGAAATGGGATATCTTCGACAGGGAGGATAACGAGGGAAGGACTCTCCTTGTGTTAGGCTTAGACAGGTCTTCAATGGCAAGTCTGGCTAAGACCAAGGGCAAGGCGCATTACGTATCCAATGCCGAAGATAACAGCGAGGGGAAAACACCCAGCAACAAAAAGAAGGGAGCCGAGCAGGAGATTATGGACTCCCAAGAAAACCGGTTACTGGTAGAAGTCATCCAGATTAACCTCCATCGGAGCGAGACGGCAACCCTGGCCCTGATGGAAAAAATAATAAAAGATAAAATACACATCAGACTGATCCAGAAACTTTGGACAATTAAAAACAAGGTCTCTGGATTAATCTATATAAATTACCAACTCTTCCATGTAAATACGGGTTCTCGGCCGAGAACCTGTATAATATGTCACAAAAATGTATGCTTTCTCTTCTCCCCAGAGTTCTCAACATCGGACGCAACTGTACTGAAGCAGGGGAGTGGTAACATTTACCTGGTATCAGTATATCTTCCGTTCGACTCTCCGATACCACCACCAACGGCGGAGCTGCAGCGACTGGTGATGAATGCACAGAAAATCACATCATATTTCGTGGGGTAGTACAATTACTAATAAATGGCATAGACAGAAACGACAACAAATTAACGGAAGTAATTGTAAAGTCTTTCGAGGAAAGTTGTCCTCTTCGAGAAAGGAGATCTGCCTTTGAAAAACCCTGGATGACAGGGGAGATTCGGAACAAAGGAAAAGAGGTCCGAAAGCTTTACAACTGAGCACGCCGAAAAAATCTACAGTATTCTGGGACAACTTCCTCGATAAACGGAAAGATTACAATAAATTGACATGAACCGCCAAACGCAACTCCTGGAAGCTGTTCTGCGAACAGATAGACAGCGCGAACGTCGTTTCAAAAATCAAGAAGTTTCTATCCGAGACCCACACACAACCCGAAACTATGGTAGACGGTGGGATTAACAGGATAGAAACAATCGAGAAAACTTTTAACTTGCATTACAAATCAAAATAATTAAAAATGTATTACACACCAAAGAAATAAATATTAATGCAACGGAAATAGGTACAGTACTAACAACGTTGGTGATTTTTATACAAATATCATTAAACTATAAACCACGTTGAAAATATCAACAGTCAGCAATTGAAATCAATGGATTTCTTAAATTGTATAAACATGTTTCAAAGTAAACGTTAAAGAAAACACTAATTTTAAAAATAGAAAATGAAACGTGTTTCTATTGTTTTAGGCATTCGATAATGCGGCGGTGGCGCTAAGGAGTCTTTAACCCTTATTGATATGTAGATATGTATGTATATCACCTCTCGCCAAACAAAATCCATGAACATTTCAAAATCTATCACATAGTTGAAATTCTTCCAACATGTTTGAAATAAATAACCAACCCACCAGTAGCTCAGTTGGTAACAATAAAGGCAGGTACACACTCCTATATTATACCAAAAACAAATGTTTGTTAATTCAAAAAAAAAAAAAATTAATGATATTCTTAATTTTATTTAATTAAAAATTGCGATATAACTAGGAGTAGTCATAAATATTGACTGTATAGGTTTTTATTTATTTTCTAAATCCAATAGCAGGTCTATCAATATGCGATCGCGAGATTAAAACGACGACGACGACAACAACAATAACATCTCACACACGTCTCGAAAAAGATTATTTTGCATTCTAATGCACATCACACACTGCTGCTGCAGCAGCAGCAGACACTTTATTTCCAAAACAAACGTGTTTCAATCCGATGTTTATATCTCCCCAAAAATTTAAATTCTTTTTCTTCCCCAGAGCAGCAAGTTGTAATTGCAATCTTGACTTAGAAGAGGAAAAAAGTAACCGAAATTCGAGATAAATACCTGGCATTTATTCGATACAGATCATTTATTTCAGTTGGGCACAGTGATGCAGCAAGTTAAACGTTCCTTCTAAACCGTAGAAGAAGAAGAAGAAAAAATAGGACTTTGGATTTTATTTGAAGTGCTAAAACAAATTTAAATTCAAAGCTTAATTTAATTGTGATTTCTTTTTGTTGCTTCTTAAAAACAGTGACATTAAAAAGGTAATAATATATTATTTCAAGTGATTGTGTATTAAGTGTTATATAATGAAAACAAGTGGGTGATCCTTATTGAAATATGAATGAAAATATATCTTAACGATAAGTCAAGAGTGAAGAAAATAACTACGAACTTATATCCGAACTAAGAGAACTTTTGTAAAGACTTGACTGCAAATTGAAAACCATTTATAAACCTGTTAAATGTTTAAACAATTTAGATCTGCTCTTGAGCTGCAGCTTTTACATCATCCCTTCAGATTTATTTTTTTGCTTAGAAAATGAGGCACGGATGTCTTAAACATTAAGTACCCTTTTTATTGGTATGACCTAAGCACAGAATGATCCTCAAGAAAAAAACGATACTACCATTTCGATTAGGTAATCTTGCAGAAAAAAAATATATCCATATAAAATAAAGATAAATATCTGAGAGCCCATATACCATATACAGCAACGGGTCGACAAGAGCCTTACATGCAGAATAGGCTCCAAATGGCGATACACTGTGTTATGTTTTAGTGAGGTGCATGCATTTGAGACTAGCTTATTTCATATCTTTCACATGAGCTTATAACTAACATAGTTGTAATTATGAGTACTTAGGACCAATGTATCAAATAACATAGTTGATATACATTCCCGCCAGAGAATATGTGGGAAATGCGGACATCATCAAGTAGAGCCATATATGCTATATTATATATAAATCCAATAGATATCCAAATAAAATATGAAGCGGCCGCCACAGCCTTAAGACCATGAACGAGTGGATCGATGCAACGAGGCCGATTATTTTAGAGAGAATTTAGTTAAACAGGGATCTATTTTTGTATACAGTCAACTTTACCTCAGGCTTATGGCTAATGCTAATACACTTATATACGGCAAAAATGTGCTTCATCGAAATATTGGTTTTAAACCCCATATGTGCACGATAACTCTCGAAAGGAGTAACCGATTTCTTCCAAATTTTTACATCGTAATATTTCTTCCAAACTATTATCTTTCTTCACTTCCTTAACTCCGTCACTAATTGTCAATATTTTAAATACGAAACCTCATTGTCATTCCAAATATCTCCGCAAACCATAGGCTGATTTTTTTTGTTGTAAACTACAGAGTGACTCTGCGGAGAATACTTATTTATCTGAAACTCTTATACCGGACAGCGGCTCATGGGCTAGTAGTAGTAGTACATCTTTATTGAGGATCATTCTGTGCTTACAAAAAATAGTTAACATCAATTATAAAAAAGTTGTATATGTCTGTGACAATGTTTTATCAGTATTAAAATATAGTTTAATAGCATTCATTTTTCCAAGTATATTTTTTTCAAGTAATTTATTAAGTTATCGAAGAAATGGGCATCATGGGCTAACGGAACTGGGCTAGTGTTCCGTTAGCTGCTGTAACTGTTGTCACACAAATGGCTCTCGGTTAGCTGGAAGGAATCTATAAAGAATATCTGAACTGACAACAGCAAATATCTCGCCGGATAATAAACAAGCTATACAGTTAAATCCATAAATACTGAAATACGACAAAACCATAAACAAATTTTTGGATACCATCATTCTCCTCGACCTACATACCCCTTTGGCAGCAATAACTGAGCTTTCCGAAATTTAAATTCCTTTCATGCCATGCATCAATAACCTTTTATAAGATTGGAAGGAATTTTTCAGGTCATATCCTTCTACAAGTGAAAGAGTCACTAGGGTCATTATTTTCGTACTACAAAAATATTTGAAAAATCTTGACAATCTAACTTTTATTTTCGTTTCCATTTTGTTTCAGCAATGGGTCTCTTAACCGAAGGCATACCACTTTCGTGGCCAGAAACTAAAGCTCTAGCCGAACACGTACGTCGTCACGGCATTGAACAGTTTATCAATCATTATCATCGTCTAAAGGATCGCAGTGGTGACAGCCTCAAATGGGGCGATGAAATCGAATATATTCTTGTGAAATTCGATGAACAACAAAAGAAGGCGCGCGTTGTCTTGAAAGCTCAAAAGCTGCTGGATATCCTTAATGAAAAAGAAGAAACAAATCCACATGCCTGTAAGGCTTTGTGGCGTCCTGAATTTGGCGCCTATATGATTGAAGGTACTCCGGGTAAACCATTTGAAGGGTTCCTAACACATTTCACAATGTTGGAGGCAAATATGCGCCATCGCCGTGAAGAAATCACCGATCTGTTGGAACGGGATGAATGTATTTTGTCAATGACAAATTTTCCCCGTTTGGGTTGTGAAGATTTTACATATCCCTCGTATAGACCACAACCAAATAATCCACAATCGCAAACAATGTCTAAATATTATCCGGATGAGACAACATTTAGTGGTCATCCTCGTTTCAGCACAGCTTCTAGGAATACCAGATTACGTCGTGGTGAAAAGGTGGACATACGAGTTAAGGTGTTTAGAGACAGATTTACTAAAATCCCCGTTGAAGGAAGTCCCATTGATGAACCGGATGTTGTGCAACTAGATGCCACTGGTTTGGGTATGGGTTGTGGTTGTTTGCAGACCACCTTCCAGGCATCTGACATGCATCAGGGTCGCGTATTATATGATCAATTGGCCACAATGTGTCCCATAATGTTGGCACTGACTGCAGCATCACCCATTTACCGAGGTTATTTAACAGAAACTGATTGTCGTTGGAGTGTTATAAGTGCATCGGTTGATTGTCGTACACCGGAAGAAAAATCCTTTATACCCAAATCTCGGTGTGATTCGATAAGTTCATATCTGTCGGCAGAGGGCGCCAAATATAACGATATACCATTGCCTTACAATCAAAGAGACTATGAACATTTGCGTCAAGGTGGAGTGGACCATTTAATGGCCCAACATATAGCTCACCTGTTTGTGCGTGATACGATTTGTTTGCTCAGCGAAAAAGTCCATCAGAATGACGAGGAGGATACCGATCATTTTGAGAATATACAATCGACAAATTGGCAAACAATGCGTTTCAAGCCACCGCCACCAAATTCCTCTATTGGATGGAGAGTCGAATTCCGTCCTTGCGATGTGCAAATAAGTGATTTTGAAAATGCTGCCATTGTATGTTTTATCATCTTGCTGACACGTGTCATATTGGCATATGATTTGAATTTCCTGTTGCCGATTAGTCGTGTCGATGAGAATATGAAGACGGCACAAAAGCGTGACGCTTGCCGAAAGGAGAAATTCTATTTCCGTCGTAATATTTTCAATGCTAGCGTAAATACGGAAAGTAGTAGCGACAGCAGCAGCAATGGTGATGAGGAGGAGAATGGTTTCCAGACAAATGGTTATCACAAGGAGACGGAGGAAGAAGAAGAGGATGATGAATATGAATTAATGACGTTGTGTGAAATTTTCAATGGAAAGGTAAGTTAGACCCAATCCCACTTTTTGTAATGATGAGAATATACATTTTCAAAGTATACGTCCAATCAATATTCATACAATTGATGGTTACTTACTTGGTTGGCTTATTACAGAACGGTTATTCCATAATCAGAGCTTAAAAAAGATTTCCAAGCGCGTCGGTCTTGTGCGCATCTCCTTCATTTTGAAAGACCATGTCGCGAGATGTTGTCTTCTACTTGGTGTTTCCATCTAATTCGTGGCCTCCCCCATCCATCCATGAGTAGGCTCGATTTAATATACCTTTACCAGGTCTGAAGCCGCACTGGTATGGTCCAATAATGCCATTGACCATTGGCTTCAACACGACCTCAGCAGCAGACTGGATAGCACTGCAGCTCAATAAGACGGACTATTATTATATTCAATGAATAGGTGGAATGTGTCGATGTGGTCAATGGTGGATTCCTCTACCCAAATTGTATTAATCAGCTGGTGCATGTTCCTGGCCAGCATCTCACCACCAGTCTTGAATATTTCGGCTGGTAACCCATCAGCTCCTGCTGCTTTATTGTTCTTCAGCCGATTAATTGTTATTCTGACCTCATCTTGGCTAGGTGGTATACACTCTATACCATCACCTCTTATTGGCTCTGGGTTATCTTCTTCACCGCCACTATTTGATACCAGAAGCTTTTCAAACTTTTTCATCTCTACAGGAAGATATGACTGCCCCTAAGTCTTTGGTTGGATGTTTTACTCATTGGTAAAAATTTTCGGACTTCATTCTGACTCATGTACATCTCGATTTGCTTTCTTGTTCATTCTTATTTTTTCTGAAAATACGTTTTTTCTTTCCTCCCGATAATGTCCATCGCATTACGTGTTGCTACTGTCTGCAGGGTTGCCCTATAAGCAATTGATGGTTATTTAAGTTAATATTTAGAATATAATGAGAGTTCAGACTTGTCAACGATGATACACATCGATGCCAGTTCATTTCCTTTTTACTTTGTCATCATCGTGGTAGAAATTTGGACAGAGTCAAAGTTTGGAAATTATGTACTTCATTTTGTAATTCCTCACGACCTTAAGATAATTCTATTCTTTCTATATTCCTCCTCATTTATTGAGTTTGTGTTCTTATCGGGATATTTGCTTTTCTATCCGATACTGCTTTGGATTTAGAAATTGTGAGTGTTGGAATTCGCAACGATGTTTCCAAAGTATCCGAAGTACATGTCAGTTTATTCGATCCCAATACTACTTATTAAACTACTTATTTTAACTCGATATCTATCGTCGCCTAGAAACAACACTTCCTTGAATGTTGCGTAGTAGTTGGAGTCCTTGCTATTTTAGTGTTGTACTTTTCCTCTGGGTGGTGTTATCTTCTAGTTCATATTACGCTATATCTCAATGTTGATGTCGAAGTATTTTATTAAGTAGGAGTGCATTTCATCTGGGTGGAGTATAATGTTTTTTGTACAAATATTAAAAAACCCCTTGGAATCGGCATCCATCGTTTTGTAGTCTGACACACTTTATTACATATTTCTTTTATAATTACCATAATATGTTTAATATTGCTTCTAACAGCTTTTTTCAATATTCTAATTTCATTTCAGTCCAACACATGTCCCGGTTTGATACCATTAATATTTGATTATTTGAAAACAATGGACATTGATAGCAATACCTATGGAACCATAGAAAAATATCTCAAATATTTACAAAAGAGAGCTTCGGGTGAGATTTTAACTGACGCCCAATGGATAAGAGAACAAGTTTTGAAACATCCAGAGTACAAGTAAGTTTTTTAAATATTTTGTATTTCGAAATATTATTGCAATACTAATTACAATTTTACATTTTTTTACAGACATGATTCCATTGTGAGTGAACGCATCACTTATGATCTATTGAAACGGATTCAGGAAATTCAAAATGGAAAATTTACTGAACAAATTTTAAAATCTGGTTAATGCACAGTTATACTATTACCATATGAATGCTTGTTTACTCATCCATTATTATTCCGATGTGAATTAATTTTTCCCACATCAAAAAATCCAGTACACTAAGAATAGGATTTTGGAGATTTCAAGGTCTCGTGATATTTTTTTAATGTAAATACTAAGTATTTGTTTGTAAATACTTTCTATAATGAAATTTTTTTATTTAGTATAAGACTTGTTTGAATTAACAAATACAATTTTATATAAAATATATATGTACAACAATTATTTGTTATTCCAGTAAATTAAATATGAGATGCGTCAATTTTCTTAATGGGAACGGGAATTTTTTATTGTGAGTGATTAAAAATTGAATCCCGTTTACATTTTAATTAATTCCAAGAAAATCAGAGCTTATTGGATTGACAATGTATTTTGCATATTGATAAAAAATTACTAGTTCTAACTGTTCCTTGACAGTTTCCATTAATTTTGAAAGATTTTGAAAATGTGAACCTAGCAGAAAATTTGAATTATCAATTCAAGCTATATAGAGAGATTGGCGCGGAAAAATCTTTGCTGTGGTTTATTGTAAAATTTGACCAACTATCAATTGGATTGCAACCAGATTAATGATTGATTCACTGTGTATCTGATAATATTATTAAAGACGGAAGTAAAGTCGTCAACTTCCTCAGTCATAGATTAGGATAGGATATTATATGAAGATTTGGCCACCACGCGCTCCATACCGAAAATATTTAACATAATCGTATTGTGGTTGGAATTTTATAAGTTCGTCAGTTGATTGTTCAACACCTGAAGAACGATTGATTGATCATAAAATATACCTAATATTGGGACAGGGGTTCAATATTTTTGCCGTATATATTTTAGGTCGGAAGGGTATGTAGGCATAAAAAAAAACTAATTCTGACATTTGTTTTCCTGGGAGACCTTTGGTCCATTGTGATCCTCCAGAGAACCTGAAAATAGAGGACAGAAGAGAAGAAGATCCTTAGCCGGAATAGAGTATCAAACTAGTATCGTAACAGTCGGTATCTTTTGCTACGAAGCATTTGACATATACATGGAGGTTCTATCGTTCATCCTCACATAAACGGCAATATTCCCCTCCATCAACATCTCATTTGGAGATGGAAGACCTGAGTCTGCAATGACTGTTATGATCACTACAATAAGGTTGATATCTTATGTTGACACATTTTTGATATTTCGTAACAAAGTTTGACGACGACGATGTCGTAGATTCTTCGTCATTATTTTTGTTGACGAATGAAGTGTTTGAACAAAATTTTCTTAAGAAAGTAAAAAAAAAAATATGCCCGATCAAGGAGAGGATACGTCATCCTCGACTCTATTCAATAAGTGTTGGAAAATTTCGTGTAAATAAAAATATATGGTGGGATTTGTATATAAATCTGGTCAATATGAATTGGGCTCGTCTTGTGCCAAAAAAAGTTTCGTCCCATTCGGATCATAAAGGTGAACTGTAACCTTTTTAAAATAATATTTGGACGGAGGGACATGCATAAATGGACTCAAAAAGTAATCGATGTATATACTAAAAAGTAACTATGGGTCTATCTCGTTTCCATTTGGATGTTGCAAATACATGTACCAAGACATAATGCCCTGCGCCACAGTGTTGTGAAGGATAAAAACACATTTTGCACAAAAATATCAAACAAAATGAACAGCTGACTTCAGTTTTAGATAATTGTGTATTGATATTATCGATAAATAGTCGGCATCGTCGCATGAGTGTTACAGAATACCAAATCAATGTCGAAGTGATGTCGATGCGGAATAGGGGTGATTAGTAGACCTCGGATTTTTGCATATTTTTTATGCTTTGTCCGATTGGACTCAAATTTTGTATTTAGGCGTTTCATGCTTTAATTGATCGATATTTGGGGTCATGTCAAAAATATGCAAAAAATATGCAAAAAATATGCAAAATATATGCAAAAAATATGCAAAATATATGCAAAAAATATGCAAAATATGCAAAAAATATGCAAAATATGCAAAAAATGTGCAAAATATGCAAAATATATGCAAAATATGCAAAAAATATGCAAAATATGCAAAATATGCAAAAATATGCAAAATATGCAAAAAATATGCACGGTATGCTAGGTCGATATGCGTTAAATATACGCAAAAAATATACAAAATATGCATTGTCGATATGCAAAATATGCAAAAATATGAAAAATATGCAAAACTATGCAAAATATGCAAAAATATGCAAAATATATGCAAAATATGCAAAATATGCAAAATATGCAAAATATGCAAACATATGCAAAATATGCAAACATATGCAAAATATGCAAAAATATGCAAACATATGCAAAATATGCAAAAATATGAAAAATATGCAAAACTATGCAAAATATGCAAAATTATGCAAAATATGCAAAATATATGCAAAATATGCAAACATATGCAAACATATGCAAAATATGCAAAAATATGCAAACATATGCGAAATATGCAAACATATGCAAAATATGCAAAAATATGAAAAATATGCAAAAATATGCAAAATATGCAAAATATGCAAAATATGCAAAACATATGCAAAATATGCAAACATATGCAAAATATGAAAAATATGCAAAATATATGCAAAATATGCAAACATATGCAAAATATGCAAACATATGCAAAATATGCAAAAATATGCAAACATATGCAAACATATGCAAAATATGCAAAAATATGCAAAATATGCACGGTATGCTAGGTCGATATGCGTTAAATATATGCAAAAAATATACAAAATATGCATTGTCGATATGCAAAATATGCAAAAATATGAAAAATATGCAAAACTATGCAAAATATGCAAAAATATGCAAAATATATGCAAAATATGCAAACATATGCAAAATATGCAAAAATATGCAACCATATGCAAAATATGCAAACATATGCAAAATATGCAAAAATATGCAAACATATGCAAAATATGCAAAAATATGCAAACATATGCAAAACATGCAAAATATGCAAAAATATGCAAACATATGCAAACATATGCAAAATATGCAAAAATATGCAAATTATGCAAAAAATATGCACGGTATGCTAGGTCGCACTATTAAAGATAGAACTTTGAAATTTTGCACATATATTATTATTACTCCTAGGATGTTTGGTATTGGAAATGGGATATATCGGTCCACGTTTTTGTATATCGCCATATAACGGTTAAATATGTTTGCATGTTTTATACATATATTTAGCAAATTTTTCATAATGCCCCAAAAATCTAACAGTTGAACCATGAAACGCATACATACAAAATTAGATTTCTATAGGTTAAAAATAAAGAAAGCACACAAATTCGAAAACTACCATGAAAAATCTTTTTTTTTTTTTTTTGATTAAAATAATTGCATATGTGAAATATGTTGCTCATATTTTGCATATTTTTGCCAATATTTTTCATATTTTTTGCATATTTCTCGCATATCGACCTAGCACACCGTGCATATTTTTTTGCATATTTTGCATATTATGCATATTTTTGTATATTTTTGCATATTTTCATATGTTTGCATATATTTTGCATATATTTGCATGTTTTGCATATTTTTGCATATTTTGCATATGTTTGCATATTTTGCATATGTTTGCATATTTTGCATATGTTTGCATATTTTGCATATGTTTGCATATATTTTGCATATTTTTGCATATTTTGCATATTTTGCATATGTTTGCATATGTTTGCATATTTTGCATATTTTGCATATTTTGCATATTTTTTGCATATTTTGCATATTTTAGCATATATTTTGCATATTTTTGCATATTTTGCATATTTTGCATATGTTTGCATATGTTTGCATATTTTTTGCATATTTTAGCATATATTTTGCATATTTTTGCATATTTGGCCTATATTTTGCATATTTTATGCATATATTTTGCATATCGACCTAGCATATTTTGCATATATTTTGCATATTTTTTGCATATTTTGCATATATTTTGCATATTTTGCATATTTTTTGCATATTTTGCATATATTTTGCATATTTTTGCATATTTTAGCATATATTTTGCATATTTTTGCATATTTGGCCTATATTTTGCATATTTTATGCATATATTTTGCATATTTATTGCATATCGACCTAGCATATTTTGCATATTTTTTGCATATTTTGCATATATTTTGCATATTTTGCATATTTTTTGCATATTTTGCATATATTTTGCATATTTTGCATATTTTTTGCATATTTTGCATATTTTTTGCATATTTTGCATATTTTTTGCATATCTCGTGCATATGCAAAATATGCAAATATGCAAAAAATTAAAAAATATGAACCCTTCAAATAATTCTAAATCCTTTGAAACGAATTTGTGTCCAATCAGAATTTCGATATCTTCATTATTAAAAAATATGCAAATATGCAAAATCCGAGGTCTAGTGATTAGTCATCTTTTGGTGCAAGGGGATTTCAATGCTCATCATGAATTATAGCGGATCGTATACCCGAATTGAGATCTAACTTTCCAGGAAAAGCAGAGGGATTAGCAAATAAGCGTGATGAACTTCGTTATACGATCTCTTCAGTGTAGGAGGAACCATCACAACTTACTTTGGAGAATATTGCAAGTGTCATAAGAAGAGTCCCGGTGGAATCTCTATGTTAAAGCAGATTGATGAGCCAGAAGTAGAGTACCTAACCAAAGTCCTCAATTTGGTGTTACCCACCTTAATAGTTCCCGATGACAAGAAAATGAGCAAAGCTGAATCATAGAGGCCTTAGCATTCGTAAAAGCTGATCTGCTGATCATCAACAAGGATTTCAGATGCAGCACGGTGGTAATATTCCACACGCTACACCTCCTCAAGCCGTGACACAGCCGGTACAGGCCGCAGCCTTTTTGAACCTGTAGTTAAAAACAGAACCAGATTAAAGAAAAAATACAAATCATTATAAGCTGCATCAACAACAACAAATATTAACGATTCGGTGTAA